CCCTGTCCCTTTTCCCCCTCTCTCCATCACTTGATGCTTTTTCCTCCCCCATTTGGCTCTGGAAGAGCTTGCCTGCAGAGTTGAGCCTGGGAGCTGGTGCTGCCTGATGCAGATAGGTAGTGGCCTTGGCTGAGTATAGGTTGGTGTGTAGGTGATGACTTGGTGCTTTCTTGCCTCCCCTGAGTGCAGTAACCAGATTTTGGGTGCCTAGTCAGTAGATCTGACTGGACACCATCAGATCCCTGTTTTTGACCAGACTTTCTAGTTGAAAACTGGACACCTGACCACACTATCTGTGCTTTAAACCTCTACAAATAGAGTTTGTTTCTTTTTAAATTGCTAACCACATGCCAGACTTGGTTTCTAGCATTTTGAAAATGTAGCTTAGATCATTCTTTATGGGCTTGTCTATGTGAGAAGCTATACTGGTTCTGATACATATATTTAAAAATTGGACTTTTTATTGTAAATTGGATTTTAAAAATTTAAAATTTGGTGATTTGTTTTTTAAAATAAACCTGTGCTAAGGCATACATTTATTATATTAAACTAATATATAAATTAAATACAAAAATAATAGTAAACCAGTGCAGTAGAACCTCAGAGTGATGAACCAGAATTTTGTCATCAGCAGGGCTCGACAAATCACTGAATCTACTCGCTCGTGGCAAGTAGATTTCAGCCGGTCATCCCGTTCACCAGCGGCGCACGCATGTGCAATGTGGGTCTTGCGCATGCACAGTACGGGGCTGGCGAGTAGGTTTCGCCGCCGTTTGTCAAGCCCTGGTCATCAGACAGCAAAAATGTCTGTCTTCCCCCTCCCCTCCAAAAAAAAAAAAAAAAAAAAAGCAAATATAGTACAGTGCCAAACGTAAACTACTAAAAAAATAGAGAAAGTTTCAAAGCTGTATTGAGTCAAGGTTCAGCTCTAAACTTTTGAAAGGACAACCATAATGTCTTGTTCAGCATTACAAAAAACTGTCCTTCCCAAGATCTTTGTAATTCTAAGGTTCCACTATACACTTTTTCTGCCACATTTTTAAGAAGTCAAACCACTGAATTTGGAATTCACTGGCTAAAGATCTTGAACCAGAGTTTGTTAAATTGCAGAACCAGCTTTTGACAGAAGTAGTCTCCATAGCAGATGCCAGGTGAGTATTTTTTCCCTCTTATTCAGCTAGTCCAGTTCAGTGACTCTAGTTGATTTAAAATTAAATGAATTGGGAGTTGACTAGATCTCTCAAACCATATTTACCATGTCCACCTTCTTTGCTGTTGTATGATAAGGAGACTATATATCTGGAACATAGCAGTTAAATGCATATTCTTTTCCTCCTTTCTTTCAGGGTGGTGAGGTGCATGATGGGTCTGAATTGATTGGTCCTGTTGAGCCTTTATCTGATTCCTTGATTGACAGCTTATCCGACTGCAGTTCTGAAGGTTGAGTTTCTTTTGTGATTATTATCTGACCTCTGTGGTTTTTGTAAGCAATTAAAAAAGACCCTATCAGTGCTAGCAGGTTACAGGTTGTATGGCTGTCCTTAATATTTAGATCTCACGATTACTATATGGCTACGTCTACACTGGCAGCTTCTTGCACAAGAGCTCTTTTGCGGAAGAGTTCTTGTGCAAAAACTCTTCCAGAAGAGAGTGTCTACACTGGCATGTGCTTTTGCGCAAGAGCTGTGCTTTTGTGCAAGAGCATCCATGCCAGTATAGACGCTCTCTTGCGCAAGAAAGCTCTGATGGCCATTTTAACCATAGGGCTTTCGTGTGCAAGAAAATCATGTTGCCTGTCTACACTGGCCTCTTCTGGAAGAGCTCTTGCGCAAAAGGGCTTCTTCCTGAGCGGGAGCGTCAGAGTTCTGGCACAAGAAGCCCTGATTTTATACATTAGAACGTCAGTTTACTAGCACAAGAACATGTGGGCAGTGTAGACAGGCAGCAAGTTTTTGTGCAAGAGCGGCCGCTTTTGCGCGAGATCGCGCCAGTGTAGACACAGCCTATGTGTGTTGATATAAGGTGTTGGGTTTTTTAAAATTTACAGATGACTATATAATTATGACTGTTTTGCTTATCCAGAAAAGGAAACAAACTCTTGAGCTGTTTTACTTTTCAGTGTAATAGGGGTTACCATTTAAAAGGGCACTGTTTGATTTTTTTTTTTAAATCAGATTTATTTTTTCTACAACTCAGATTCTGATGTGCAACCTTCACACAGTGAGTTCCTTGTTTATAAGGATCTCTCTGCTACTTGATTATATACTTTAGGTATTTATATGGCTTCCATCATTGTAGCTGAGTGACTCACAACCTTGAGACTGACTAGCTTTCCAGCTAGTGGAGTAGAGAAGTGCTAGTACGATTCCTGTGGGTACAGGTGGGGAACTGAGAGAGAGAAAAAGACTGACCTGCCTAAGGGCCACATAAGAAATCTGTGGCAGAGCAGGAAATTGAGCCCATGTTTCCCAAGTGGTAGGCTAGGGCCCTGTCCCCTGGACTATATTTCTCCCTGTGAAATTTACAGAGGTGAAATTTACAAATTTAGAAAGTGAGAAACACACTGATTATGTAGGCAAAACACTAAGTTCTGTTGAATCCACAAAGTGAACAAGCTTAAAAAAGTCTGTATATTTCATCTGATATAATTTCCAGTAGTTGTTGAAACTACAGGACATACATTGTTAGGCATACATGTGGCTTTCAGATTGATGCTCTTTCTAAATTTAATTAGATTACTGGGATAGAACAATGAATTTAAAACAGTGCGAAAATGAGAAATAACTATATTCAAATCCTCTAGATGGCAGTACTAGTACTAAACTGTATTCCTGTTCCAGGCATGTTTCATGTTGCTAAATGTAGGTGCTCCCAAGTCCTACTCCGCCCTCTCCTCCCGGGCCTTGGGATGACTGTTGGACTTTTAAACCATCTTAGGACTCTGTTACCAGATTTGCCCAATACTCTGGGGTATGCTCATTTATCAGGGTTACCCTTATGGGACTGGGGGAAGGTTAACAGTTCTATCAGTGTGCTGTTGGTGCTTACTTGGGCTCTCATATGGAGCTGAATTCTCCCTGCTGCCAATTCCCCCTCCCACTGGAGCTCTCCTGCAGGAACTAGGTTCCTCAGGATGGGGTTCTTCCCACCTTAGCAACACACACAGACACTCACACCCACTAATCAGAGCACGTCTGAGAGGACTGGGTACTCAGCACTCACAAGCTGACCCCCTCATATGTCCCTGGACTCAGCTGGCTGGGTTTCACAGCAATGCCACACTGCACCCTCATGTGCCTTTGGACTCCGTGGGCTGGATTAAACAGCACTTTAAGCTGCCATCCTCATAAGCCCCCAGGTTCAGCACCCCCTATCCCCACTTTCACACCACAGTCATTCACAGGTAAACCACACGATGAGCAAACCCCACAGGATTTTGGGCACTACAGGGATCTTTTGCTTGGGTACAAGAAGCGTTGCTGCAGAGCGAATGGGGAAGCCAAAACAACACCCCTTAAGGAAGAGTGAGCAAAAGAGAAAGAAAGAGAGAAAAGCAACCAGTTTAATAATGAAAGTGATTTATTTCTGAGTAGTGAATAGATATCAAACAGTTACAATATTAAATCTAACAATTACAATATTAAATCTAAATTGAAGCTGATTACAAATGTTAGGTAACCATATAACAGTTTACACAGGGCAGGGTCAGGAGGCTATGCTCAGAGAGATAGTTGAGAGAGAGAGAGAGA